TACAACAAATTGGCCCTAATTTTCCAAAAATCAATAAAAGGTTTGTGTCTCCAACGACACCATTTTTTCTATGTTCTTCTAACTTTTTGACCAATCTTTTCTATGTCATTCCTTTATTCAACTTCTGTCTTCTGATATCTTGCCAAATCAATTAAGGAGAAAAGATATCCCATTAGGTAATAGCAGATCATCTTCCCATCACCAAAGAAAATAATACACACAGAATGAACCCACCTCATCTTTCTCTTCCTCATCATGTCAGAAAAATCATCCCTCCTTTTCTCACAAAGCAAATCTGAGATAAAAGATTTAGATGGCCTGGAATTCTGGCAATTGGGGAGGTCAATGCAGGCAGATTATTTGAGACCAGGACTTTGAAACAAGCCTAAGCAACTGAGGGAAACTCCACCTCTAAAACAAATACAGATAAATAATTAGCTGAGCATGGTGGTGTGGTGGCACATGACTGTAGTCCCAGCTACTGAGGGTGGGGAGCACTGAGGTGGGATGATCACCTGAGCCTGGAAGGTTGAGGCTGCAGTGAGCCGTGATCATACCACTGCACCCCAGGGAGGGCAATGGATATTTTTAAAAAGGTCTTCTCTGTGAAAAAAATAATCAGATAAGCAGGTAGCCATGAGGCTCAGGATGGCTCCAGTGCAGTGCACTCAGTTCCTCCTTAAACAAACCAAAACTTGACTCAGTGTAAATAAAAGGAAACTTATGCTTAACCAGTCAGAAACCATCAACTAACATCCACCTAGAGACTTTCCACTGTAATGATCCAAATGAGACCACTGCTGCACTTTACCAGATCAAGCATTTTCTTTTTCTTCTACATTCACAATGTAATTCTTCCCCCACCCTCCCAAACCCTCTTTGTTGGAGCTCTAAGCTGCTTGTAGCCTGGGGCTGCCTGGTTTTAAATTTCTGAATGCTCAAATATACCTCCTAATGTTTCAGAGTGCCCAATCATATCTTTTAACAGCTCTCATGGTTACATCATTTCTTTCTAGATCCTCAAGTTCTATCTCCTTCAGTGGACTGATTCTTCAGTATGTTAACATGTTCTCCTCTATCATGGTAAAGACTCTCCTAATATGGGCAGTTTCTTACAAAACTATACATACTCCTACCATGTGATCCAGCAGTTGCACTCCCTAGGTCTTTATTCAAATGATCAGAAAGCTGATGTCCACACAAAAACCTGAACACAGATGTCTATAGCATTTTCTAAAATAGCTACCAAAACGTAGGAAGAACTAAGTTGTCCCTCAGTAGCTTAACTGATAAATAACACTGTGGTATATTTAGCAAATGAAATATTAATCACTTCTAAAAAGAAATGAGCTATTGAGCCATCAGAAGACACTGAGGAATGTATAATGCACATTACTAAATGAAAGAAGCCAATCTGGAAAGCTATCTGCTCTATGATTCCAAGAACATAACGTTCAGAAAAATGCAAAACTATGGAGACTGAAAAGATTAGTGGTTTGCGGTGGTTAGGAAAAGAGAGAATAAATAAGTAGAGCACAAGATAATTACCACAGTGAAAATATACTGCAGGATATCATAACAGCTATGATGACACATTCATTATACATACACTCGTTATACATTTCTCCAAACCCTCAGAATGGGCGTCATCAAGGGTATCACTCTGGGTGATGATGACATGTCAGTATAAGTTCATGACTATAACAAATATTCTACTCTGGTATAGGAGGTTGCTAGTGGAGTGACCCAAGAGTGTACAGGAATCGAGGGCATATGGGAACTGTGGACTCTGTACTCCATTTTGCTGTACATTTGAAACTAATCTTAAAAAAAACGTCTATCACATAGCCCTTTTCAGGTCTCCAACTGGTCTGAGCCAGTTCTATTAAAGCTCAAAAAGCGCTGATTAATAAGCTAGATCTGACCCAACTGGCAAGAAAAGGCAGAAAAGACCCAGGCCAACAGAGTATATTCCACATGCATATACAAGGAAACTGGAGGAAACTTGTTAGCGTGTTCCTGAGCCCACAGATGAAGGCACAGATGCCAGGGGCGCCAATGTGAATCGGCCAGCATCCAAGGCCACATGACCACAAATGTGCGGAATCTCCTCTGCAATCAGTAGCTAAGGATGTTAGGCCATGACAGGACTAGGATGGGAGATGAACTGAGAATAGATTCTGTAGGCTTTTGTTGCCTCTTCCCAGCCCCAAGCATTTCACTCTCTGCTCTTGCCACAGGCAGCAGGGAGGCTTCCTGTGAACATCATCCCCACAGCCTACAGTTGCGTCACTCTCAGCCTCTTACACCCTCCTATGGCAGTGTCAGCCAGGACATCCAACCCTGAAAACTCAATGGTTCACACATGGCCAAGCATCATGTCGGGGTGAGCAGACCCCCTCCTCTAATCTGCAGACAAATGCGCCCTACCTTCTGGCCCTCTGCCAGCAACTGGAGGCTCTGGAAATTTCCAGACACACAACAGTCTTCTGAACTGCAGGCTGCTGCCCCATCCTATGGCAGAGTAAATCTTTTCTCCACTAGACTTGGCCTGTTATCCAGTTGAATGAAATGTCTTTTTAACACAGAAACAGGACACAGAAACTAGTGTTCTTGGGCACTGACCCCATCACACGGTTTGTAGGTACACACCAGTCCCGAGTACATGCCACCGAATTGAGGCCTCAGGCCATAGAGTGTGCACACTGGCTCAGCTTTCAGAAAACATCAAGGTATTGTTGGAAAGTCTGCAGACTTTATGGAGAAAAACAAAAATGAACATAAAACAAGTGATGAAA